GGGTTTACCATTTGAACTGCACTGCACCACGTTATCATTTGTCAATGATAAGTGACAAAATTGAAGTGTGATTCAATTGCAGAATCCACACTTCTAGCTAAATGTCTTCATTTGTGCACTAGATCCTATCTTCTTTATCTACTGAAGGACACTGATTCATGAATTCCCCTTTCCCGTGTCATCGAAATCTTGCTTACTGATGAATGATTCATCACAAAGAATGCTATTATTTCTTCTATCTTATTAACAAACTTTCCTAGACATCACTTCCCCACCAATTACTAATGTATTTCTTTGTTCCTATATGCAATAAAATTTCTCAAATAAGTTGTCTATACTCCTTGCTCCTCCTGCACTATCTTACATCAATTCCAACTATCAGTGATATCCACATTAGTAAATCTAATGGTTAACTCTGTGTTCTTATTTCATGAACAAAATTTGACACAGTTAATCACTATCCTTCTTCTCCCCTTAGATCTGCTTTTTTTTTTTTTTGGCAAAACATTACATAATTTTTTATCATTAAATGAGAAAATTTCATTTGTTACACCATCACATTGCTAGTCAGACAAATGCTGCAGTGATGAAGAAAGTCAATGATGGAGCAACCAAAGTTCTCATTTCTACAACATTTATGTACAAAGAGATAATGCTCAACACAGCCCAACACAACATTCTTGGTTTTCTTTACATTGAAATCCCCCCTCAAAAAATCTTCTAATGGGGTATTTCACTACATAAATTGTAGCTGTTCATTTTTACAATTCACCCCAAACTGTATGAAAGATGTATCACACTAAAATTTCTACAGCTGTTAGGAAATCCTTCACACATGGTCATCATCCAATGTGTTACTGCAACTTGTCTCTGCCATCATTCTCAATTGTGGGTTGGAAACTGGTTTTCTTCGAGGATCCAAACCTGAAGGCACAAATCAAACCATTTTTCAAAACACCTTTTTTTCTTAGACCATTCTTCTGTAGCTGTTCACTGGTAACTTGGAATTCATTTCATTCTCAGTTAAGGATACATGGTTTCATCATTTTCACTCTCTTCCTGCCAGCCCATCTCCTTCAACAATCTGTGTTCTGCCTGAAGTGAACTTGAAAAAAATATCAGTTTGTGAGAAGGTTGAAGAGCGAATGATCTATTGGAAAATCACTGAGGCCTTACCATCCTCTTGTAGAATTTCATTTTCAAAGTTCTGGTTTGTATCCCTTTCTTGGTGAGTGCTATTGCCGTTATATAAATTAAATGAGTCATTATCCTCTTCTGGGCCAGCATGGCTTTCATCTTCAAATTCCTCTTCTTCTCTGTCCCTTTTTAATGCTTTCAAAAATTCACTGCTCTTATCAGTGCACATTTGTGTCAGTTTGGTTAGATGAGGCTCTTTCACTGAATTTATTGATGGACTAAAATTCTTGGCAGTTGATTTTAAAGCATTAAATTTGCCAACACCGTAAGTAGACTCATGGGGGAAAGAAATCCCACTTTATTTTCTTTAGTTTGGCTTTTCCATTGTGTAGGTTTTGTAGGAGAAAAAGCAGGACTAGGGACTAAACCTTTTAAAACACTGGGACTAGTTCTGTTCTTAACTGGCTGTGACTGAAGATTTCCTGCTCCTGGAAATTCACATAGCTGTAAGTCTTTTGTATTATCTTTCTTAACGACCAGCATCCTTGGAGCTCTGGATTTAGGATTTGAAGGCTATTCTATGAGAGGAGCTTGGGAGATATTTTTGGTTGGGTATGTGTATGTCTGGGTGTGTAGGCCCCATACACCTGCAGCTAAAGATTTATTCTGATTTGGGTCTCTCTGATATTCAGGATTTAAAGATGGAAAATCTTTAGCCTCAAACTGTTGGTGTTCTCTCTTGTCTTCTTTCCTCCCAGTTTGATTGTCAGGCATGTTGTTTTCATACAGTCCTTGGCTTTTTCCAAAATGGAAAATACTGCTAGGAGAACTGCTAGGAGAATAGGAATTTCCACCATGATGAACTTCCACCCTTGATGATTTATGTTTTCAGTACCATTTCTTCCATGTGTACTCCATCCATTTTTTCCTTTCCTTCTAAAGTTACTTCCATTAGGATGTTCAACACCAGAATCAAAGCCATACGACAATTCATATCATAACAGTTTTCTGTCCATAAAAAGTTTTCTGAATGGTTCTCGAAATTCAATGAGGACTTTGTTGATGATGGTGGAGTGGGAATATTAAGCCAGGCTGGAGCAAAGTCACGCTGAGCCTTTAGGTCCAGTGTCTCCAACTCGGTGAAACAAGGCTTCAGCACCTCATGGCAAGTCCAAATTCCAATAGGACTGCACAGGAAGGTGTTGGATTTTTCTCTGCAATCTTTAGGTTTCTAGTTCGTTTTTTATTTTGTATCCTCTGAAATAATATCCAAGTTATTTTAAGATACCTGACCTATGACTATTCATCAGAGTTATTTCAAGTTGGCTACCCATACTTCTGTTTTGTTGTTTTTTTCTTATTTGAGACAGAATCTAACAATGTCACCCTTGGTGTCACAGCTCACAGCAACCTCAAACTCATGAGCTCAAGCAATTCTCTTGCCTCAGCCTCCCAAGTAGCTGGGACCATAGGCACCTGTTATAATGCTGGCTATTTTTAGAGATGAGCTCTCACTCTAGCTCAGGCTGGTCTTGAACTCCTGAGTTCAGGGAATCTGTCTGCCTTGCCCCACCCCCAGAGTGCTAGGATTATAGATGTGAGCCACCATGCTCAGCCCCATACTTCTGTTTTTAAGTTTTCATATGGCTATCTCCAGAATTAGCCAAGTTCCTTGGATTTAAGATCAAAGTCTTCTGTATTATTGCATGTACTTGCCATGGTTGTACTCTACAGATGAAATATCCAATTAAAGAACCAAAAAGCAAAAACAAAAAAAGAAAATTTCACACCTAAAGAGCATTCCTAAATATCAGGATACACAGAGACACACATAGCTATCTCGATACTACCATGCTGCTGAGAAACACCAACATCTTAAATTTCCATGTAAATAAAAGACAAAAGGAAAAAGATTCTGTATTTTTTCAATGTATTCATTAGAAAAGTTGTCCCATTGTGACATGAAAAGGATGAAGGTCAAAAATGTGCATAATGCAAGGGCATATGTCAAAACTATTAAGGGTAGAATATAAATGTCTTAATACAACAAATAAGTGAGGTGAAGGATATGTTAACCAGTTTGATGTAAGCATTCCAAATTGTACATAAAATCAGCACAATGTACCCCATAAATGCATTAATGTACACAGTTATGATTTAATAAACCAATATTACATAATTTGTCCCTTAAAAAAATTACTAAAACTTCTAATAAATATAAAAACAAACTGCCAAGATACTTCAGCAATATTTTAAATAGTCATTTGAAACTGGTGAAACCATTCAGCATACAACTCAAACACAACTTACAAAAAAACCCCAAAACTGTAAGTTGTGTTTGAGTTGTATGCTGAACACAAATGTTCATAGCAGTATTCATAATAGTGAAAAAACAGAAACAACCCAAATGTTTATCAATTGTTAAGTGTATTAACAAAATGTTACATATCTAAAGAACAGATTATACAGCCATACAAGGGCATGAAATGCTGATACAGGTTACAATGTGAATGAAACTTGAAAACACTTTTAGTCTATTAATATGAAATGTCCAGGATAAGCAAATCTATAGAAGAAGGAACTTACCAGTTGCTGGGGGTGGGGCAAGGGGCAGCAGAAAATGAAAAGTGACTGCTAATAATTATGGTGCTTCTTTTGGGGTGATGAATGTATTCTAAAATTAGATTGTGGTGATGTCTGCAAAACTAAGAATATATTAAAAACAATGGAACTGAACCCTCTAAATTAGTGAACATTTTAGTGTGTAGAAACTGTAAGTCACTGGTCAGATTACAAAAGTAAATTCTGTGGACTAAATGGGTAGTGCAGAAGTTGAAACAACAAATATATTCTCTTTTTCAAGTAATTTACAAGAGAAGGAATATTATTAACATATACCTGGTAATCAAAGTCCTGAACTATATGCTATTGAGTTCCTATCAAGCTCTAGTATTTATCCAAAAGAGCAAATAACCTCAACTTGAAAATAAATGCAGTATAGCAATTGTGGTATATTTAACTGATACATGATGAACAGAATGAGTCTTCTGAGTCTACTGAATATAATATTTTCCCTTACAAAATTGCAGTTCACTCTTGAACAACATCAAAGCGGGGGCGCCAATCTTCTGCAGTCAAAAATCCACATATAGCTTTTCAGTACTCCTAACCTTAGCCTACTATTGACCAGAAATCTTACTGATTACACATTAACACATATTTTGTACATTCTATTTAAGTGTATTATATATATCATATTCTTATAATAAAATGAGTTAGAAGAAAGAAAATGGTAATAAAAATCATAAGGAAACTGTATTTATTATTCATTAATTGTAAGTGGTTCATCACAAAGTTTTCCCTCCTGTTGTCTTCACTTTGCACAGGCTGAAGAGGAGAGAATGGTCTTCCTGTATCAGGGGTGGCAGAGGTGGAATAAAATCTGCATATAAACGGACCAAGCAGTTCAAACTTATGTTGTTCAACTGTCAACTGTCAACTGTATTTACATGTTTAGGGCTCATATTCAGCAACACAGCATTCTAGGCCTATACCAGACATAGGGTAATATATTTAAGAAGCCTACTATGGTATTTTCCAGTCCACAAACTAAAACAAAAAAGGTACTTCAAGGCATAGTGGTTTTAAGACTTTGGCTTTGATGATTTTGAATAGTAAGGAAAAAATATCAAACTGGCTTCTATTGGGACATAGTGGTGACCTTAAGTCAGCAACCACAATCACAATACTACTGAATGGCTCTCCAGTTGAGGGCAGAACAATCTGCCGAGAGAGTAGTTTTTGTACATGCCTTGTTATCTACACAAACATAATTAGTACATTATCTTATAAAGACAATTATCTTTAAACTCTTTTAAGTATGCATAATAGTTTCCTCAAATCCAGTTCATCACAAATGAGAAAAAACTCATTACTTTTCTAAGGTCAATTCTTTCCTTTGGTCTGCTTAAATGCAAAAGCTAGTAACTTCATCTGCGCAAACATCTATGTCAAAGTAATAAACTATTCTGTATTTAAAAGAAAGCAGCTTTTGTTCATATGATTTACCCAATTAAATCACTATTATTTTCACTATTATTTCATTTACTATGCTTGCTGAAGCAAAATAACTTGCCCATGAGCAAAGAGCAAATAAAGAGTCCTCTGGATTTCAACGCTAGATGGTTTTATGTAAGCTTCTACCTGCATCTTCATGACATCTTTAGGGAATTCTGCAGAATTGGATGCAAACATATAAATACCAAAGCTCCTTTCAAATTGCTTTAGAAATATAAACTATACCACAGCAACCATTTGAGGGTTACTGCAATGTGGCAGGCACTATGCTAAATACTTTATTCACAAAGTCTTACTTAGTTCATCACAATAACCCTGAAGAATTAAAGCCAATTCACAAACTAGGATGCTGAGACAGAGAAATACCAGAAATTGTACAATTAGTTAAATACATCCAGTCCCAACGATCCACAGTATTGTCAACTCTGGCTCTGATATGTTTTCTGAGCTTCACTTGACTCAACTGCGAATCAGGGGCAGTAACAACGAAAGCTCATAAGATGGAAAAGACGCCACACTCACACGTCGGCAGACCCCGGTAGCCACCGGAGTGGCGAAGGCGGGGACCTGAGATCCCACTAAGGTAGGGTGACCAGATTTTAACATCGGTAAGGCGGGACAATATGGCCACAGGGGCGGGGCGGAGCTGGGCAGGGGACCCGGCAGGGCAGGTCCTGTCAACAATGCAAACTTTGATACGCAGTTCTCGATAATCACTTCTCAGAATGTTATTATTACAGTTTAACATTATAAAATTAACAAAAATAATATAAAACTCATATTCTGGCGAAATAGCCACATGGCAGCCGATAACCGTATATTCCCTTCTTGTTCTCCCGCCCGTTCGTGCATTCTTTCCAAAAATCAGGGCTTTTTTAAAACGCCGCGGGACGCGGGACAAATTGTTGAAAAGCGGGACGTCTGGTCACCCTACACTAAAAGCGAAGGGAGACGACTATAGACAAGACTCCCTAAAAACTCTCCACCTATCGCCAGCCCCGTCCAAACCCGTGTGCTAGTTGTCGACCCCGCGTACTGCAGATTCCCCGTCACCTTGAGCCCTCCGGGGAAGAGGTTCTACCCCTTCCCTAATTCGAGCCCCACACTCCTCAAGCCACTCACCAACATGGGGACTCCGTAGCGAAGGGTCTTGTTCTTGCGCAACGCGCATTTCATCGCGGGTGCAAACATGACTAAATCCTCCAGCGCGGCCTAACGCAGACTCCGAAATCTCAGCGGCCCAAACTCACCTTTTCCAAGCTCTTCCGGAAGCTGTCCTTTAGCGACACGCCTTCGCCAGGCAAAAGCAATCGATCTGGCGTAACATAATGGTGCATCCGCCCGGAAATTTGGTCGTCAGCGGTTTTGGTTCCGGAATGCCCGCGAGTAATTGTGAGTTGGGCGAGCAACTTGAATCTAGTGTGCGGTCGCCGTCTAATCGATGTGGAAACTGGTATTTCCCATCTTCTGAGTGTTGTGTGTTTGTCTTTGAGACAGCGTCTTGCTTTGTCGGTCGACCTGGCTAGAGTGCAGTGGCGTCTGCAATCTCCAACTCCCGGGCTGAATTGACGCTCCTGCCTCAGGCTCCGAAATAGCTGGGCTACAGGCTTATGTCCCAGGCCAGGGGAGCTTTTTCTATTCTTAGTTGAGACCGAATCTCTTGCGAGTCTCCAACTCCCGAGTTCAAGCGATCCTCTTCACTCTGGCATCCCAGAGTGCGAGGATGACAGGCGTGAGCCACCCTGCCCAACCATTATCTAAGTCTTGACTAACGTCTTAGAACACTCCCTGGCACATAGGAAAAAGAAAACAAAAATGGTATTTTGAAGCTAGTATCCTGACCGCTGCGGCTGTGTGGGATAGAGAATCTACCAACTTAATAACGGTTTTAAAAGAAATCGCGGCTCAGCGCCTGTGGCTCAAGCGTTTATGGCACCAGCCACATACACCTAAGGTGGCGGGTTCGAATCCCCAGCCCGGACCCGCCAAACAACAATGACGGCTGCAACCAAAAAATAGCCGGACGTTATGGCGGGCGCCTGTGGTCCCAGCTACTTGGATGGCCGGAGGCAGGAGACTCGCTTGAGCCCAGGAGTTGGAGGTTGCTGTGAGCTATAATGCCACAGCACTGTACCCAGGGGGACAGCTTGAGGCTCTGTCTCAAAAAAAAAAAAAAAAAAGAAAAAAGAAAGAAAAGAAATCGCTAGAAATGATGGTAGGTCGAATGTAACCAGTGTAACATCTTACACTGAACTTTTAATGCTAATGATTTTACTGCAAGATAGCTTGTAATCTTCAGAAATTTATGAATACCTATTTATACCAATTCAGCAACCATGCAGGCTACCTTTTTGAATGTCATTGGACTGATCTAGGAACACAGAAATAAAGAGATATGATGCCTAACTTAAACTGGTGGGAGGTGAGGCACATAAATGAATGTGTGTCTAAAAATATTGTGATAGCTTAGGAAATAAAGCTCCAGCACGTGCCATTTGCCAGAGTGAATCAGAGAAAACCTCACCTAGAGCAAAGGATGTAAAGTTGTAACATTTCCCATGCTGTCCCTGAAATCTTCCCATCTGTTCCTGCCTCTCTCCGTTTCCATTGCCACTGAAATGTTCTTGGTTTAATCCCTTGTCATCTTTCCAACCATTAAAAGTACCCAACCCCAGTGGTCTCCAATGGAGAAACTGCAGATCTGTCTTTAGGCTGCTCCAAGAATATTTATGTCTATATGACTGTAGTGTCAAATACAGAGGAAGGAAGGAGGGTGGAAACATAGTGATTCCCAAGTCTATCTTCCACACTACTGAAAGTTATCTAAGCGACATAAAACATGATGAGATTCACCAGTACATACAGTGTTCACTCCAATTTTCTTACAGAGGAATTTAGGGGCCTTTGTAATATGACTTTGTTCTACTTTTTCTGCCACTGTTCCCTCCATACTCTACCCTGGAAGAAGACTATTCCTTGAGTACTGTATTCCTGGAACTTCCCTATCTTCAAAATGAAGCTCCAGGATACCAGTTCTTGAAGTCACCCTACTCCATAACCAATGTATATTATTCCATCCTCAGAGCTCCAGTAACCGTTGACTAATACATGTATACATCACAGAGCAGTATCATGCTGTGTTATCATTTGTAGTGTATAAAAGTCATTATTGCTCTGATTAGCATATAAGCAAGCTGAAAACAGAATGGGAAGAATACTTCAGAGTTTGAATTTGGACTTTTCAGTACATAGAACATCACCCTACTGGATCTCCCACTCCATCCATCACAGCCCTGCACCTCGCTAGTAGTTAATAATGGATTAAATCATATATCTATATCTATATATATATATATATAGATAGATAGATATATTACAACTTCTGTAAGTTGATCATCCAAGGGACTGTAACAAACTAGTCAAAATGCAGATGTGGTCAACATAAGGAACTAGGCCTACTGTACTCGATATGTACATGTGGTATATGTCTGGTCTATGAAAATAGATCTCAAGGTCAACTTGAGGTGGGCAATGTAGGGAAGTGACTAGTTATGGAGGTTCTACTGTATTTAATAGTGTTACAGCCAATAATTTATTATCCTTTTCAAATAAGGAATATATTCAATTTAAGGACTATAGGTCTTCAGTCTTTCATTTGTTCAGTCATTCAAATAAACATTTATTGTGAACCATGAGATGGTCCTAAAGGAGTAACTATATGTAGTAGGAATTACATGTATGCTGGAAGATTGTCAAGGAAAAAATTTGTGGCAGTGAGGAATTAAAGCACCTATCAAATTGTAGTTTATAGATGATAAACTCCATTGTCTATGCACAATGCTTACCTTAAGCATCACTATTATCTACCTCAGTTTCTCCATCTATTAAACCAGATAAGTGAAATTTGTCATAATTTTACAATTCTCACAAATAGTGTTCACACAATTTCTTATCAATATGGAATGAATCTATTGCCTTCTCAGAAATATGACTCAAATTCCATCTGTTTCTATTTCCAGTGTTCATGAAGAGTCAAAATGTTGACTCTGTTATCTAACTGTTGACTCAGTTATCTTAACTATCCTTCAAGTGGGAGGATATAAAAATTTATATCCAGGAAACAAAGACTCTCTACCACCATGTCAGTTCCTAAGGACTGGTATGTATTTGATATCTAGGCAAATTATATTATCCTCCAGTATCTGCTCTCCCAGTATTTAACTCATGCAAGTACATGAGAGTATTGTTATAAAATAGAAAAACCACAAGACTTCTTGAGAGAGTTAACATGTTAGGTTTTAGAATTATGGCCAAAATTCATGTGTATGATATGGAAATGTTAGTTACTTCATGGATCTTTGCTTTCATAATGCCACTTTCATCTACTATCTAATTTGATTCACTGAAAAACCTTTGAGTTTGGGGCAGGACATGACACCAGACACATTTTATCAGTAAACAAATTGAGGCTCAGAAAGGTTAAGTGGCTTTTTAAGGTTACATTTTGTGAAGTAGTACAAACATCCCAAATATGACTAAACTTCCTATAGAATTTGACAATATTGACCATGTCCTTGACGTCTTCTCCTCCTGTGGCTCTCATGGATATTTCACCACCATGGACCCCTCCCAACTCTGAGATTTCTTTTGCTTGTCTTTAGCCTTGTAAACCTTAAGATGAAGTCCTAAGTCTCTTCTGTTTTTGCTGGTGTCCCAATGACTCTCTCAAACTTTAGTGGGTACCAGAATCCCCTGGAGAACATTAAAACAAACTGCTGGCCACATAACCAGAGTTTCTGATTCAGGAGGTCATAGATGGGGCTTGAAAATCTACTTTTTAAACAAGCTTCTAGGGGGAATGTGTGCTTTTGTAACATAAGTCAATAGTGAAATACGATGTTATCTACTGAACTTTATGTTTAAAAAACCTTTCCAGCAAAAACAAGAAAACTAAAAACCTTTCCAGAAACACTTATATTTAGAAATAGACAAGTGAAACACAGTGACTCACACCTATAATCCCAATAATCTGGGAGGCCAAAGGGGAGAGGATTGCTTGAGGTCAGGAGTTCAAGACTAACCTGGACATATCAAGACCCTGTGTCTACTAAAAAAAAAGGAAAGTCACATGTTTGGTTCAAGAGTAAGTACAGGCTCAGTGACTGTAGCACAGTGGTTACAGCATTAGCCACATACACCAAAGTTGGCAGGTTCGAACCTGGCCTGGGCCAGCTAACCAACAATGATAACTGCAACAAAAAATAGCCAGGTATTGTGGCAGGCCTCTCAGGCTGAGGCAAGAGAATCAGTGGCGAGAGCACCAGCTACATACACTGGAGCTGGCAGGTTCAAACCCAGCCCCAGCCTGCCAAACAACATTGACAACTATAACTAAAAAATAGTCAGTTGTTGTGGCAGGCACCTGTAGTCCCAGCTACTTGGGAGGCTGAGGCAAGAGAATCACTTAAGCCCAAGAGTTTGAGGTTGCTGTGAGCTGTGATGCCACAGTACTCTACTCTGTCTCAAAAAAAATAAAAACAGTAAGTACAGTATACTTTTATCTCAACATCAAACTTTTTGAAAAACATACCATTAAAAAATGGTCTGTATGTGTGTTATGTGTTGTTTTAACATGCTCAAATAACATCAGTTATCTACCACTAGTTTAAAAAAATTAGTAAAATACTATTGTACAGTTTCTTATTAAAAAAAAAAAAAAAAAAAAACCTCCTGTGGCTCTCATGGATATTTCACCACCATGTCCAATAAAAGCACGTTCAATAATGCATGTCCAATGAAAGTCAAACTTAACATCTCACAAGTGAATCTACTTCCTAAATTACCCACATCAATATCAAATAACATTATTTTGAATAACCTCCAGGTTGAGGAGGATATAGGATATCAAAATAGAAATTGTATTATGGTAATTAACAAAAAGTTCACATGAAGTCCTATGATTGTACATGACTAAAAATAAACATGCAACTATGTAAGGGAAAAGAACACCCCAAACAGAACAAAAGAAGGCATATACAGGGAATCAATCAAAATAAAAGTTAAAATAAGAGAAACAGAAAACAAGTAAAAACAATAAAACCAAAAGCTGGTTATTTGAAAAAAAAATCAATAAATAAAGAAAAAAATTAAATTTATGGTAGGAATGAGAAAAACATAGATATATAAAAAAGTAAAAACAGTTACATGACAATGTCATGTTCTAATTTATTATAATTGAACAGCTGGAGAAATTGATGGTTTTGTGA